CATGTACATTGGTTGCGGGCCCATCCCCGGTAGGGGGTGTGCAAGAGGCAGCTGGTCGATATTTCTCTCTCATTGACGTTTCTACTTCTCTATCCCTCTCTCCTCCTCTCTGTAAAAAAATCAATAAAATAAATTTTAAAGCTGATGTAGCAAAGCGTCATATAAGGAATTCATCTTAAACAGTGTGGCTATGCAAAACAGAACTATCACAGAGGCCTTGATTCAGCAATTGCAAATGTGTCAATAATCTTTGATATTTCTTGATTTGCATTATAGATACCCCAATAATAAAACAAAGCTAGACTCCTTCTCATTCATCCCTCCAGAGTCTCTGAGGAGAGAAAGAGAATTATCTAGAACTTCTAGTATTCTGGATCCATCCTTCCTAGCCACTGGTGTCCAGAATAAGAGTAGGGAGGGAGTATTGGTGAATCCAGTTTGTTCTAATGAACAACAGCTCCAGAGTAATAGAGCCATAAAATAAATTTTCATTCTTAAAACTATCTGCAATTATAAGCTGGAATCTATATTTTTAAGATGTATTTTTAAAGCAACACCTTTTGGAGTCATGTCCACATCTTAATTGACCACTTACTATATGACGTGGACCAAATAGATGCACATCAATTTCCTCATTTGTAAAAATGTATATAATTGTAATATATGTTTTAACTGGTCATTATGGGTTCTAAAGGAGTTGATATGTGTTGAATGCATACAACCATGTTTGACACATAGAAAGTGATACATACCTATTTGGTAAATAAATGAACAAAAAAAGTATTTTTTCCCTGAATATCAAGTGATAAAATATACATAAAAGTATTAACCTGGTGCTTATTGAGCAAATGCCCAATAATTGTTAGCCACAGGGTTATTCAAAAGCATTTATTTATTGCAAGGATATGCCAAGCCTGACTGGGCACTTAGAGATTAAATCCTGAGGAAGACTACCCAATGTCTCTCATAGGAGTCTAGTTACAATCAAACAGAGGCAACACTATTAATAAAATAATCACACAAATATAGGCGAGCTTGCTCGTATGGTATGTGCTATGCAAAAATGACACATGGTGCAATGAGACATGTACTTTGAGTTGTGGGGGAGGAATGATGGGAGGTTGTCAGGAATCCCTTGACAAAGAACTGTCACTGAGATCTGAAAAGTGAAAAGGAGCAAATCAACATAGAGAGGAAGGGAACTGTTACAGGGAACAGAGAGGGAAGAGCTGATGCAGTGACCATGGAAGAGGTGATGCAGGCAATGAGCTTGCCATGCACTCAGTCTAGGAACAGGGCTGTTTAAGCCACATTAAGACATAAGCAATTGGAATTCATTGACGGGCCTTGAGCAGAAGCATATGGTGTGATGCATGATTTGAAAAGATCACTCTACTGCAGGGATTCTCAAAATTTAGTGCAGGTCAGAATCACTTGAAGAACTCTTTAAACTGATTGCCTTGTCCCAGAGCTTCTGATTTCACTTACCTGAAGTTGGGTGGGAGAACTTGCATGCATAATGAGACTTCTATGTTGATGCTGAAGCTGATGCTGTAGGTCTGAGGACCACACTTTGAGAACCACGAGGTCTACTGCACTGTGAAGGAATTGAAAACATAGAAAGTGAATGCCAGATGCACCACTTAAAAAAGCACTGTCAGCAGTCTATACAAAAGACAGATGTTTGACCCAAGGAAACGGAGAAAAGTCAACAAATCTAAGGAATATTTAGGAGGCAAACGTTCAAGGATTTGGTGCTGGGCCAGGTGTAGATTTGAAGGACAGGGACCAATCAAGGAGAATCCAGTAGGTTAATTGCTCTGTTTTGTATATGAAAGAATGGAAGTGTCATCTTCAGAGTCAGGAATACATCTCTCTATTATATATAAAAGCCTAAGTGACCAAACAACTGGTTGACTGGTCGCTATGGTGCATACTGACCACCAGAAGGAAGATGATCATTGCAGGAGCTGCCCCCTGGAGCAGTGTGCTCCCACATGGGAGTTCTGCTCAGCTGACTGACAAGCACTAGACACCAGGTTCACTGCTGGGGAGCACAGCTGCAGTGGTGCAAGCCTCTCTTGTCTCCATGGCCACGTGCAGGTGCCTTAGGGTTCGGATGAGCAGGAGCAGTGTGGTGCCAGGCTGCCTGCCATTTTGTGCACTACTACATCCCTTGGGGGGATGGCAGAATGCCAGTTTTGATTCCCTTGGGTCAGGCCTCGGTGATAGTTCTGTTCCGGATATCCACACTGTTTCAGATGAATTCCTTATACGTTGCTTTTCTGCAACAGCTTTAAAATTTAACTTACCTCGCTCAGGTGGTCTGGCTCAGTGGTTGAGCATCCACCTATGAAGCAGGAGGTCACAGTTTAATTCCTGGTCAGGGCACATGCCTGGGTTAACAGGCTTTACCCTCAAGGTCATGCAGGAGACAGCCAATCAATGATTCTTGCTTATCATTGATGTTTCTCTCCCCCTCTCTACTAGAGGCCCAGTGCATGGATTTGTTCACCAGTGGGGTCCCTCGGCCTGGCCTTCGGAGATTGGGCCAACACCGACAATGCCCCACGGGTTCTGGATTGCAGGAGGGTGCAGGCCAGACTGAGGGACCCTGCCGGTGCACAAATCCGTGCACCGGCCTTCAGTAGTAGCATATCAGGCCAAAATGAGAGGCCGTTTTTAAAAAGGCTTTCATTGACTTTCCCTACCTCGCTGCTATGGGCTAAAACGTGGCAATAATCACAGAAAGCACAGGTGCTGGGAGCCAAATGGCGAAAGAGTGTTAGCCTCCAGGCAAGCCAGAAAGCCTGTCCTGGGGAAATGCCAAGACAAGCAGCCCGGGCTGTTTGTGGTATTCTAAGGGCAGGCAGCGCAGAAGCCAAGTTACTCCTGGGCTCAGCGTCAGGTCTGATTGTTCCAGCCTCAGCTGAGGCCCGCAAACAGAGCTTCTAATTTAAATAAAGACAGCAGTTAAGACTTAGAGATTAGGAGCAGAGAGCGAACAGATAAAAGATCAACCAAAAAAAAAAAGGTTAATCCCTAAATTGAAAAGGAAATTTCAAAGACCGTGAAAATCAAAGTGCCCAAGATGAAGTTCGCAGCACAGGGAAACTGCGGCTGGCGGCTGGCCCGCCACAGGACACAAATGCCTGAGACAAAAATGAAGAGGGGTGTGGGGGGAGAGTGAGGAACAGAGAGATGTTTTTGAAAATTTTCTAAGAAATATCCTTAAAGATGAAAACAGTGCATAAGTAAGTCAGGGGATTCTAGTATGTTCTGAGGAATAATGAGGGGAAAAAAGGCTTGGTGACTAAGACCTGCATTGTTGGTGCAGCTTCTCCAGTGTTTGGAGGAAGTAAAGCAGAGGCTTCCCCCTGGAATACCAGACACATATCCAGAGGTCTTTAAGAGAGGCTCACAGGCACACATTTGATAGCATTCGAGATCAACCAGTGTTTTCTTGCCAAAGAGTGATCATCTCTCCCAAAGGCGGGCGACATTTGGCTCAGGATCCGATGGGAGAGCTGCGGGAACTCAGAGCAGGAAGGCCCGGGAGAAAGGTTCCAAGGAATGTGAGGTGTCAAGGGAATCTTTCAGAGTGAAGCAATGAATATATTCAATTTTGAAGTACTTTGAGACCAAGAATATTTTGATAGCACACAATGTATAAGGGTTATAGTTTTATTCTTGTAAAGGATCTTGGCATAAACATTGTAGGGAGAAGTAAAAACAAAACAATAACAAGACAAACAACCTGCCCACCCTCACTCCCCAATAAATAAAGCAGAATCCCATACTGATATCGTGATACTAAACACTATAATGATGACGTGGGAACGAAGTGGTCTCTGAGCCTGCCTAAACAGAGTACTAGCCGTTCAGTGAGACACCACCTACCACCCAATATGTAAACCCTGGATGGAGTCTATGACTCAATATAAAGTGAAGAGAGTTGTTTGCTGTTTTGAGAGTTTATCTATAGTTTATTTTTAATCCAAATACTCATGCGTCTGTTTTGAAATAATCAATTATACATTTCACATCCTGCAGAAAGTGAAACAAGAGGGGAGTTTGGGGTTTTTGTATTAACATTATTATTTTGCTTAATTAAGGAGTTTTATGTGTTTGTTTCAAGCACTAAAAACAATTATAACTAAGTAAACAAAACAGAAATAATTGCAAGCCTCCTGGAGCTCTTGGAACTGAAGAAATACCTAAAAAACCCATACCTGAAGGCAGGCAGGATCCTGGGAGCTCCTTGGACCCAAGTAGCAGAGATCACATAATTGCCTTCTCAGGGAACCCCACTGTGATTAATTAGGCCCAACTTTCCCCCCTCGTAGCCCCTCAATTCCAAATTCAAAGAGAGAGAGTTTGAATGACCTGGCTCCCTGCTCAACACTGCTCAGGATTGCACACAGAGGAGACGTAGTGTTCCCGCAGGAAGCTGGGGTGCTATTATCAGAAAGAGACAGTAATTGCCAGGTAGTAAAAAATCAGTGAATATCTGCTATAGAATCCTTTAATCCTTTACAATTTGCTTATAGAGGAACCTTTTATGAAAAGACTGATTTCATGAACAACTGAAAGACGCTGATCCTTATATTCATCAGAACTTTGTATTACATATTTTATCCAGAGATTATTAATAATGAGTTATTATGAATGTAGAAGTGATTGTGCACTGTTAGAAATGGTAATAATTTGCATAGAAATCAAAAGGGATCTATTATTCCAAGAGAGTTTTAGCTGAGAGCTCTGATTCTTGTCCAATTAGCAGGGAATAATAACATAATCACAAACACAGAATGCGTTCAGTGTGGCATTCTCAGAAGCACTTCACAAATTCCATTTTATTTAACAGGGGAAAAGCCACAATGTGACTATATGTGGTATTTTTTAAACTATTTATAACTTTAGTTCACCTACTAATTTGTCAATGATTCATTTCTGGTCTTTGCGGTTGGTCTGAGTTGATGGAAAGATCCACAAGTAGATCCAAAGTTCTGGTCGAATGGTCTATGATCTTTGCAGGTTTCTACCATGGATAAAACTTCTCACCTTATCAAGGAATAGTTTGATTGTGCACCCACACCACCAGTAGAGAATAAATGTACCTCACAATGATTGTCAAACACATTGACACAAGAACTCCTAAGAGCGGAGGGAAAATCTCTTCCACCCCCACATACCTGCTAGTGTGAGACAGACAGGTGGGTTGAAGAAGTAGGTGGTGGGGGCAACCTATAAAGTCCTAAGTGGCAAGTTACAAGCCCACAGTCCTATTCTAGCTTACAGCTTAAGGCAAGTATTGGATTCTGTTCTACAGTATAGTACACTCTATTTTTAATTAATGTATTTTATTCATTTATATCTATTGTTGAAATATTACAGTTGTCCCCCCTTTTTTTTTTTACCATTGACCCCCTTCACCCTACACACCCTCCCCCTAGGACTTTTACCATACTATTGTCTGTGTGCATGGGCTATGCATATTTTCATGTAAGTTCTTTGGTGAATCTCTCTCCACCCACCCCTCCACCCCGCCCCCCACTTTCCCTCTGAAATTTATCATTCTGTTCCATACTTCTGTGTTTCTGGATCTATTTTGTTCATCAGTTTATTTTGTCCAATAGATTCCACATATGAGTGAGATCATGTGATACTTGTCTTTCTCTGACTTATTTCACTTAGCATAACAGTAATACTCTCCTCATCCTTCCATGCTGTCTCAAAGGGTAAGAGATCCTTCTTTTATTATAGCTGCATAGTATTCCATGGTGTAAACGTACCAAGGCTTTTTTATCCACTCATCTACCCATGGGCACTTGGGCTGTTTCCAGATCTTAGCTGTTGTAAATGGTGCTGCTATGAACATATGGGGTGCATATATTCTTTCTGAAGGCTGTTTTGAATTTCTTGGGATACTTTCCTAGAAGTGGGATCACTGGGTCAAATGGGAGTTCCATTTTTAATTTTTTTATGAAACTCCATGCTGTTTTACACAGTGGCTGCAGCTGTCTGCATTCCCACTAGGGTTCCCTTTTCTCCACATCCTTGCCAATATTTGTCATTTGTTGATTATTAATGATAACCATTCTGACAGATGTGAGGTGACACCTCAATTAATTTAAAATACACATACTATTACACACATACAACAACAATGAAAACCTAAAATAGAATTACCACTTCTTGAAGAAGCCTCTGTTCGCCTTGGTTTCACAATTCTCTCCCTAATACCTTCAAGTATATTTATGGCTTGAGAAGTACAAGTTGAACCCCTTTTTTTATTACAAACTATCTTCCATTTTTCAGTACTCAGTAGTAGAGCAATTGTAAAGTATGACTGAAGGTTGTCTTTTAATGGCAAACAGAATCATATGCATATCAAGTCTTATAAGGTAGTACTTTTACTAAAGATTATGTTATTTTTAATGCTAAAATCTTTAAGTCACATTTTTCCTAGTATTGGAAACCATTAAAATAATTGAAAAATGTAATTATTTTATTTGCTGTTGCAGCTTGCTTTATGCTATACATTTACTGCTGTCTTTGGGGAGCTCTATCCTGACACAGCTCCCAGTGCTGTAAAAACAGGTTCTATTGATGAACAGTTGAAGGCATGTTGAGTATCCAACTGAATTATTAAGAATAGGTGAAAAGGTTCCTGTCCAGAGAATGCCAATTTGGCCCCAAGAGGCCGACTTTTCTGACAGTTTCTGTACAAAGCATGGATTACTGAGTAACTGTTCCTACTGTTTGGTACATAACCCTGACACAGTTAAAAGGTGAGGGGAGGCGGTGTACAGAGAGTTAACAAGAAGAACCCCAAGTAATACAAAAATGTCCAGGAAGCAGGGAAAACTGAAAGGCACACAGAGGGCAAAACATTACTTCTGCCTGATGATTATTTCTTATTTGGCAAAAATAAAAATAAAAGGAGGGAATGGGGGGGGCATGGAACTAAAATGTGCTAGATAGATGCCAACGTTGAGGCATGATAGAGGCAAAACTGGGAGATTTTGTGATAGGAACACCTGTATGTCAATTTTAATGGTAATTATTCTGTTGAGAAATACAGTACATGTTAAATGTACCAAGAAGTCATTCAGTCATACCTGGCTCATTTTGGTCTATCTAGTTACCAAGCATTTTACGTTGCACATAGTTGGGGATTCATCAGTCATTCAGCATACACAGCATTTACTGAGCACCTGATGTTTTCGGGTGATGAGGATACAACGGTGAAGAAACAAAGCCCCTCACAAAGCTTGCATTCTGGTATCTCCAGGATGGTTGCATTCTCTGGCTGCAACCCGAGGAATCAGTGATATAAAGTATGGTTATCAAATGCCCAGACTCTGGAGCCAGATGGCCTGCGTTTGAGTGTGCTCTGCCATTTACTAACTGTGTGAACCTGGGCAAGTTTCTTAACCATTCTGGGCCCCAGACTCTTCATCAATAAAACTGGAATATAAGAAGGTAACTTATGTGCTCACATATATCTGTATATGTGTTAATGTATATATATTAATGTAAGTGCTCAGATCAATGTTTGGCACTAATAGGCACCATATAAGTGTCAGATATTTTTTCTTATATAGGGAAATTGATCTAAATTTAATCATGGGTAAAGAGTCCTTTATTATAGAGAAAATGATACAGACCAGATATGTCAAGATAATAAAACTTGATGTACTAATGTACCTCGATGGATTATTGGTATTTGCATTATTTGTTTAAAGAAATCAAGAGAGAGCATAACTCAGTGGTGATATATCTCTGGCCCTCAATTTCCTCAGCTGTGAAGAAGAGGTGGTAAAAGATTTCCAAGATAAAAGCTCCTTGAGAATTAAAAGAAATGATGTGTGCAAAGTGCTCAGCACAGGCCTAGCAGAGAATGAACATTTATTAAACAGTGGCTGGTGGCTATTAAAGTTTAACCTGATTATTTTAAATTGACATCATCTATTTAGATAGTTCCTGCCATTGAATTTCAACTCAAAAAGGACTTATGAAAATCTTCCATGAGAGCACTTCTAAAAATCCTTAAACATTGGTACATAGAGAAAAACAACAATCACTGCAGTGCTTAATCAAATCGTGTATGCCAAAGGTTAATATTGCTCCATCAAAAGGGGATCCTCCTAATAAATTTCCTCAGTCAGTAGATCCCAGTAGTGTCAAATGTAACTAAGTTGCCATAAACCTGTTCATGAATTTCATCATGATATGTTTTCAGTATTATTTATTGCTACATTTTTGTATTTTTGCATCTGTGTTCATAAGTAAAATACAATTTTTTTTAGCTTTTCATATCTTCTTTTGTCATCAAGATAAGAATTGGCTTCATATAATGAGTTAAGCTTCTTATTTTTCTGTTTTCTAGAATAATTTTTTAAGTGACAGCAGTATTCTCTGCTCTTTGAATTGTTGATATCACTCTGGCAAAATGATCTTGCTCTAGTATTTGTTTTTAGTTAGCATTTATGAATTCCATTTCTTTGACTGTTATTTGTTTAATCATAGTTTCTGATTAGAATTGGCATTTTTCTATTTGTGCAGAAACACAACCATTTATTTAATCAGTTTTTCAAATTTATTACCATAAAATTACTTCAAATAGTCATTTTTATTTTTTATGATAAACCAATATTATTTACTCTTTTTTGATATTTAATTTTCTTTTTCTCTTCTTGATTATTACACTTACCTAAAGCTTACCTTAATATTTTCTAGGTTTATGAAATTATAATTGACATATAAAATAGTATTAGCTTAAGTTGTACAACAAATAACTTAAAATACATATATATTGTGAAATTATTACCACAATAAGTTTAGTTAACATTCATCATCTCAGAAAATTATATGTGATATTAATTCTCTCAAATCTCTGCTCTCAATTTCAATAATTTCTATCCACACCTTAATTCTTTATTTCTTATTTCTTTGTACCATTGTTGAGTACAGATTGTTGAGTGACCGATTTATTAATTCATTTCCTGAAAACTGTGCAAATCTATTCATATCCTTGTATTAATAAATACTGTTTTAACTACATATTATAAAACTTGACAAGTGGTACCATCAATGTCATTTAGTTCTAAAGAGTTGAGATTTTCTTCATATTCATTTTGATTTTCTCTGTCACTCAATGGTTAATTACATATATAGAATATACTCTTTTGTTTTTATTTGTTAATGACTTCCTAGGTATGAAGCTAATTCTGACTTAAGTCTCAGTCTCTGATTCCAATAATTGTCTTCTAGTGGTGTGTCTAGGATAAAACATCCAGAATCTTTGCACTCACAAAATCAAGCTTTGCCATATAGAAAATATCATAGGGTTTAAAAAAACTATATATTAAAATAGGATTTTTTTAAGTGTCCACATAAATTTAGGTATTTAAATAAGAACAATTTCTCCCTTTTTCTTTAAGTAAACAACTAATGTTTCTATACTAGTTTTTAATCAAGATTTTAAAATATTTTAAAGTATTTGAAATAGAAGGAACTTATCATTTTGTTATGAAGAATAATGAGTTTTAGAGATAGTTTTGTAAACCTTTGTGTTTATATTCATTCATAAGGAGCCATCAATGGCAAAGAGGAAAAATCTTAACCAGAATGCTATTTAAAAAATTAAAAGCCTTGGTTCACATTTTTAACTGCAATCTGCTAAAATCTATAAGATCAATACTGTTCGCCATGAAATTTAATTCTTTCCTTTTGATAATTAATTTATTATTTTTAAATTTATTTTTATTTTTGAAACTATTACAGATGTCCTCCCCGCCACTGACCCCTTTCACTCTCCTTCCATTGCCTCCCATGCCTTCCCTGCACTGTTGTCTGTCCACAGGCTGTGCATATACACATACAAGGTCATTTGGTTAGTCCTTGCCCTGCCACCATTCTCCCTCTAAAATTCATCAGTCTATTGTTTGCTTCAATGTCTCTGGGTCTTTCTTGTTCATCAATTTATTTTGTTCATTAGATTCCACATATAAGCGGTATAATGTGATACTTGTCTTTCTCTGACTGGCTTATTTTGCTTAAGCCTCTCCATAATAATATCATTTTAATGCTATGAAAAATTATTTTGAGTGGCCCATCCCACATAAGTGGGAATGTTGTTCTAATGCCAATAGAGCATTTGATTATCACATCCTCGTAGATATTGGGAATAGTAAGACATTATTAAATGCAAACAATAAAAAGGGTAAGAACAATTTTAAGTTAAATAATGAGGGGTTTTTATTTGCCCAATTTTTGCATTAGTGCATTTACTAAAAAAAAAAAATATATATCAGATTAAGAGTTGCCATTTTCTACAGGATGACTATCCTGTTGCATTTTTAACAGTGAATATAAACTTATACCAAAAAATACAAAAACCTTTTCCTTTTAAAAGTTGTTTTTTATTTTTTACCGAACTTCATCTGAATTGCAAAGTTATATTGCCATCTCAAAAAGTACCCTAGCAAATAAATGATTATATCAACTGGGATGTTTTCACAAGTCTGGCCTGGTTTCCGAATATTAAAACTTTTAGCCATAGCTTTCATGATGGTAATCTGTCGTGCAGTGTTCAGCAAGCAAATAAAAATATAGCAAGTAAGGATGACATTGAAAAAATAAAATGTGACTGGCTTGAAGATACATGGTACATAGTGCATGTCTACCGAATTCTGACTTGTTTGTAACACTTAGGGGAAACTTCCTTTTAAAAGCAGGTTTTTTTGTTTGTTTGTCTTGTGTTTGTTTGTTGTTTGTTTTTTGCAAAAACGAAAGCTCTATTTCTCTCAGTGGTTTGATAACACTAAAAAGGAAAATTCAGTTGATTCTGCGATTAAATGTAATTTAGGATTTGCAGCATGTTCATCTCAAGTTATATTTATGATTAATTCTTCATTCCCTACACCTACCTACCCCGCTTTCTCTTTCTGTTTCATAGAAAAAATTATGACATCAACATCCAAAGGAATTCTCCGCCCATTTTTAATCGTCTGCTTAGTCCTGGGCCTCTTTATATCATGCCTTCTCGTTTACATCAAGCCCACCAACAGCTGGATCTTCAGCTCGATGGAGTCCACCAGCTCTGTGCTGAAAATGAAAAATTTCTTCACCACCAAAACTGATGATTTTAATGAAACGACTATTCTGATCTGGGTGTGGCCGTTCGGGCAGACCTTCGACCTCACCTCCTGCCAGGCGATGTTCAACATCCAGGGGTGCCACCTCACCACAGACCGTTCTCTGTACAACAAGTCCCACGCGGTTCTGATCCATCACCGAGACATCAGCTGGGACCTGACGAATTTACCTCAGCAGGCCAGGCCGCCCTTCCAGAAGTGGATCTGGATGAATCTGGAATCACCCACTCACACGCCCCAGAAGAACGGCATCGAGCACCTGTTCAATCTCACTCTGACTTACCGCCGCGACTCGGACATCCAAGTGCCTTACGGCCTGTTGACGGTGAGCACAAGCCCCTTCGTGTTCGAAGTGCCAAGCAAAGAGAAGTTGGTGTGCTGGGTTGTCAGTAACTGGAACCCCGAGCACGCCAGGGTCAAGTATTTCAATGAGCTGAGCAAAAGCATTGAGATCCACACCTACGGGCAAGCGTTCGGGGAGTATCTGAACAGTAAAAACTTGATCCCCACCATATCTACTTGTAAATTTTATCTCTCCTTCGAAAACTCGATCCACAAAGATTACATCACGGAAAAGCTCTACAATGCTCTTCTGGCTGGCTCAGTGCCTATTGTCCTGGGCCCATCTAGGGAGAACTATGAAAATTATATTCCAGCAGATTCGTTCATTCATGTGGAAGATTTTAACTCTCCAAGCGAGCTAGCAAAGCATCTGAAGGAGGTCGACAAAAACAATAAGTTGTACCTTAGTTACTTTAACTGGAAGAAAGATTTCACGGTAAATCTTCCGCGGTTTTGGGAATCGCACGCGTGCTTGGCTTGTGATCACGTGAAAAGGCATCAAGAATATAAGTCCGTTGGTAATTTAGAGAAATGGTTTTGGCATTAGAGTTTTCCAACATTAGCACACCTGGCAAATTCTTTCGATGAAATATCATAGACGTTTAGAGAATGAAAAGGGGGATGAGACATTCTGCTTTTCTGTCACACAATTTATTTTGATCACTCTCGGGTAACGTATATTTTGATGAAGATTTTTAAGAGTTCGGCATTAGCAATCACTCCATTTGGATTTAAATTATCCTATACATTCCTAATTATGTGCATTGAAAAAAATAATTTATTCTTCACTATCATTTATAAACATTGTTTTTTCACACTTTTTGTAGTTGTCAGTAATGTAAGTTTGTGGTACAATTACCGTTTATATATTGATCATCTGTTTAATCTATTTGAAATTAAAATGAAATGAACATCTTAAAACATGAAATCTTTTTCACTAAATATTATAACCTCTAGTTCCAAGTTTGCATAATATAACAAATGAAAAGTATTTGTAATTGAATTCTAACCTCTCTGACTTCTGAGTTGAACAAAGTGTGTAACTGTTGCTATTTGATCTATTTTTACCTGTTTACCATGTTTTCGAAGACAGAAATATTCATGTAGTGAAGAAGAAACATAGTGAAGCAAAACTGTTCTATTCAGAAAACTATTAGATTTCCCATATACTTTCATGAAGCAGATTTGCAAATGCAGCTACTATTCTCATGATCTTAAGTTAAATTATTGAAGTATTTTTAAATATGTATTTTGGGGGATTTTTAGTGTTATTAGAATTATTTCCTAGAAAATAACTTAAAAAATCTAAGACAGTTCTTTTTTTATCCTTATAACACATTATTATAATAAAAATAATTTATTCAAATAACAAAAGGATAGGTATAGATCGCATCACATTTCTAATTGGCACATAGATGTACAATTTTAATAACATACCAATTAAAATATTTTTTCTAGCCCCACTATTTAAAAGTTTATTTTAGCATATAGACAAATAAATAAGCATAACATTTGACAAACTTTTGTCCTATCATTTAAAAGAACCTAAATAGAATGAACATCAAGGAGTTAAATTTAACATGTGAAACATAACAAAGTGAGGTTTTATAAAATCTCAATGCATATTTATTGAATGAATAAATAAATGCCATTGACCATCAAGGGAATATTTTACTACTATCAATGAAATGACAGTTGTAGCCTAGAGGTACTCACTGGTGATGATGTTGTACATTTCTCTTTAGTAATTGTTTATACTTTAGCACATGGTAAGGCCCTCAGGGCTTTACCAAACCAAAATGAGTTTGTCATTACACTAAGTTTTTGGAGAATTCACTCGTGAACTTAGTTGCTGTACAGCATTTCTCCACCCTTAGGTTAAGGGCTAGCTAGAAATAAGCATAGAACAGCAGGTGAGAAAAGTTGGATTGCTAAGGATTCTTCAAGAAAAGTAGTCCCCAAAAGAACTTTATTCCATCCTTGGCAAAAACTCAAAAGACTTAGAATGTCCTGATAGGATCTGTTTGATTCTACGTGTGACTAATTCTAATAGTCCTATTACATGTGGCACCAGTACTGTACAACTCAAACCCACAACCTTCTACATCAAATTAAAGAGAAAGGGGCAAATGTCAATTCAGTAAAACGGAGGCGCCAACTGTTTCTAATAGGACTACCACAGGAGGGAACGAGCTCTCTAGAGCACTAGAAGAATTTGAGCAGAGGAAGAGTCCTGTGTTGATGGAGGATTGTTTGGTCCTCAGAATAATTTATTTACCCCTGATTGAATAGGCATGCTGGGTCAGGCAATGCCACAAGCAGGGAGAAAGATGAACAAGGAACTATCACTGTCTTGAAGTAGCTTATAATTAAGTGGAGAGATACAGAAAGCCTTCTTTGGATTCTCAATGGAGTTTACATGGATCACTGCTGATTTAATGAAAATAGGGAAGCAAATTTCCCTGATTGTTTCCGAGCTGCAAATTTGTTTACTCATGTGACTCAATGGAGATTTCCTCCGCAGAATTTCTTCTAACCACACTGGCTCAAGAAATGGTGTGTCTGTATGGCCGCCCTCCTAGATAAGGAAAGATTTCCACCCATATTTATTTTATTTTGTTAAAACAGTCATGTTCATTCATTTACATTTACTTTGTTATCTTTTTGTCCTATGAAAAGTATAGGCACAGAAAGAGGATTTATTACAAGCAAGTTTAGAAAGTACCTACTTTCTTCAAAAGCTGAACAATCATGACAAGCCACATTTGCTGTGGCAGATGCCCAGATTTTAATAAACTGAGAAACCTGCATACATTTCCTATATTGTCAACTATGAATTTGGATTCATTCTTAGACTGTGACTATAATCACATGCTGATAATATAACTCAAGCCAAGGCAATAATACTAATTGATTAACTAGAGCATCTCTATTTTGGAAACCCATTACCAAGTCTGAGAACAAGTTTTCTGAATTTGAAGTGCCAAAATAAATGAGTCAATTGGACCCTTCAGTTCTGGGTCCATTGATCTGTGAGTTTTAGGGCTGGAATTATAACAATGTTTACAAAGTAATCCCTTTATTCTACCTATGTGTTAACTAGATACAGAGATAATATTTATTCAAGACATATGTATACACATACCCAGCAGGTGTGGCCCAGTGGTTGTGCTTCGACCAATGAGCTAGGAGGTCCTGGTTCTATTCCCAAGATTGGGGCATATGCTCAGGCTGTGGGCTCGATTCCCGGGTCCCAGTGTGGGGCATGCAAGAGGCAGCTGATCAATGATTATTTCTCATCATTGATGTTTCTATCTCTCTCTCTCCCTCTCCCTTCAATAAAAATTTATTATTTAAAAATGCACACACACATCACAGATAGTGACATAGCCACGGTTAGAATTGAAAAGCTTGTATTTTTAAATCCTATGCTCCTATTCATATTATTTTCACTTTATCATAGAACTATGCCTCCATTCCTAAAAAATGTGAATGTCTACATGGTATCATTAGGGCCTATAGAATAATACACTCTATGTGGAAGCACTTTGACTTTTGAAAAAATATAAGTAAAAAAAAAACACACATTGAACTTGTTAGCAATCTTTCTGGTTTAAATATTTTAGGAGTTGAGCTTCAGCAAAAAGACTTGGGCTGTCATTACATTTTAAATCAAATGCATTCCTTAAGATAATGTGTAGTCCTCAGCACTGCTTTGTAAATCCTGCAGACAGCAAAATTCTATTTAAGGATATCTCATGGTAAATGATATGGATTTGATGAAATTGGCTTGCTGCTGATGATTATAAAAGCAATTATGTTAGGGGATAGTTGTGGACATAAAAAAAAAGAATCTACCATTTAAAAAATTTTATTTCAAAATACCAAAAAATCTATTACCTTCAATGCTATGATTATTTAAATATTAATTATTGTAGGCCTTAATAGTAAAAGCATATATTAATTTTATAGGCCTTATTAGTAGTAAGGATATATAATGAATTCTCTATATCAAGCAGTAATGATACTCTGAAGGAAAAAAATAAACATGGCAATCATATTTTATGACAGCCATAAATTTGAAAATATGAAGTAGAAACTGGTAAAAATCATCTTACTGGAAAATCAATATCAGTTACAATTTGTATATATTTACCAAATAAATCCTGATAGGCCTAGAATGTCCCGAAATGTTTTCTATTGCGAGGGCTTAGAAGGCTCAGAGTATTTGAGGTTTAAAGTGACAGACTATTTAGAAACTATTTGCTGAGCCTTTAAAGTCTTGCCTCCAATTGGAAGTTAAATATGGAAAGAATAGGAAACAGTATTATTGAAATCTTTTTGCTTAGCCTATTTGCAAATTAGATTCCATGAGTTTTAAGATAATCTACCTAGAAAATGTCTTTGTATGAATTAATATTACTAAAGCAAGTTTAGATTCTTACATTATGACTTTGTGCTTAAATATATCTTTGAATTCCCCTGAACACTATATCATTTAAACTTCTTAACAAATTAATTATAATCAGGCTGCTAACTATAATAAACTTCAGAACCTAAAAGACAAGACAGTGCCTAACATAGAGGAGGATCTCAGCAAATACTGCTGAAAGAACAAAAACGTTGTATTCATGAACAATATTTTTATTATGAGCTCCAGCTTATTGATGTCAGGTAGAGGTGATATTTTACATTTTTCATAAGTCAATGTGCTGCTGGATGCAAAGGAAGGCATTTTTTTGTTGTTATTGTTGTTCTTCCAGTTTTGCAGCATTCCAAGACCCCCAAAAAAGTAACATTTCAGAAAGGTTATCAAGGATTTGCAACATGTAAACACTCTTCAAATGTCAACATACCAACTGTTTCTAATAGGAAAGACAATTAATATTTAAGGGGAATTTAAAGTGCAAGCACTGTGAAGGGCACAGTATTTATTACCAGACTCTACCAGAAAATAGTTTACTTTCTCCCTAACCACAGTCCTTTGTATTGTAAACGTTGGTTAAGGTGTTTTTCGGAGTGTGTGTGTGTGTGTGTGTGTGTGTTTCCAATGATAAGCTCTACTACTATCTGAAGTGCTCTCCCTCTCAGTAATTCATATTGAATGCAACCATATTCATAAGCATTATCTAGAGCAGTTAACAGAACATAAATGATAGCCTGATATCTAGATATATGAATAATGCTAGGCTGGGTTATTGGTTCAATAGATTATAATTTTGAGAAAGCCAATGAACCCCTCTGGACTTTGCTGATTTTAAGGTTCCCTCTGGCACTACTTCTCTCACCTAAAATCTAAACTAATAAATTCATGTATTTGCAAGTGAAATTTCAATGACCATCTCAAAATAATTTTTGGAGATAACTACTCCAAGCTGACTTTCCTTTCATTTCTCTGAATAGATATGTAAAGTATAAAACTGATCAGGTAAACTACTGTGTGGAAAGAACCTAGTCCAGTGCTTGGACCATAGCAAGTGATCAATTAGCTAATCCTCCTCCTTTGACACCTTCTTCCCCTTATTTCTCTAGCTAAGTCCTTCACAATTCATGCATGCCTTACTCACTGAGACCTTAATTGTCTGCAGAAAACCAACCGTATATTTGACATTGTTTTAAAATATTTTAGATTTTTCTCTACCATCCACATTTTTATTGTAATAATCTAAAAAAAAAATTTATTGGTACAAAAATGGCTGGGCCAATAAAGGCAGATAGTCAAACTCCAGAGGCCAACAAAATAGGGAACATGATCTAAACCTAATTGAATGTATCTAGACAACTTAGTTATTTTTAAGCTTGTAATTAATATATTTACTCATTTGACTTAGTTTGAAAATATTTTTAAAAGAAATTCTGAACATCAGCTGCCTTTTGTTAGTGTTCCAGAAAACCTGGTTCCTAGAATTGCCAAAGGTGCTTATGCACACTCTGATTTATGGACCCTGTTCATGTAATTGGAATATCTTAAAATAATTTTTAAAAAATACAAAACATGTTTTAATACATTTCCTAATATGTTTTTTGTATGTTTGTTGTTGTTTTGTCCCATGCTGTAGTTTATGACCCATCCTAAGCCAGCAGTTCTCAAACACACATATGTCTTTGAGACTTTCTGTATCAGCTGCACAAGAATCATTTGAGAGAGTGTTAATAGTACAGTTTCTAATCCTCTAGGTCTGAGATCTGAGTTGGAATCTATATTTTAAAAATCTCCCCAGATAGGTCTGATGTGCTGTCAGCCTTGAGGTTTGCATTTTAGCTATCAATTAAATGGAAAATATTCTATTTCTCAATTGATATGAGCTATGGCCTTTCTTTGTTTCATGTGTATGGCCTTTCTTTCTGAATATGTCACTAAATATTTCCCTACTCAAAAGCCCTAGACATTTCTCTACATCTAATAATTTTGTGCCCAAGCATGATACTGATTAATCTCTTGATGTGGGTTGGGTTATTTATAGTCTCCAGTTCTTTTAAATCTGAGTGGTGTATATGTAGCAGTACATCTCAAGCTTGGATGAACATCTGAATCAACTAGAGAGGATTTAAAATTGTTGATGCCCAAAATACAGGTGGTTTGAGATAAGCCCCAGTGGCGGGCAGTTGTAAAAGCTCCACAGGTGATATGAATGTGAAACTGCCTCTGGGAATCATCAGTCTGCATAAAAGACTTTTGTAATTTTTTTTACCTGGAGAAATTATTAGGAACAGAGAAGGTTATATAACTTGAAAGAATATATCTCATTGTCTTTTTAGGCTCCAACTTTATGTTTGTATTTTATAACATAAAAGACTGGACTATCCAATTACCAGAATCTTTTACAGCCTTAAATTTCTATGCTCTGTGATCTGCTTCTCCTCTGTGTGTGTTTAAGAGATCTCTTTACCATGTGCCAGAGTCCTGGCTTGATGGGTGGAAAAGTAATTTACAATTGGGATACAGCAACATGACATAGCATCCAGATTTTATGACCATAAATTTAGGATTGAATCCAAACTCTGCCACTCATTAACTGTGAGTCAGTTACTTGACTTCTCTTAGCCTCAGATTTTGCATCTGTAATGTGGAGGCAGCATCTTCTTGATGGGTGTGTGTGTGTGTGTGTGTGTGTGTGTGTGTGTAGAATCACATGTGTCAAACACAAGGCCCGCGGGCCAAATCCGCCCCGCCAGGCCTTGCAATGTGGCCCGCACCGCGCTGTCATCACTGCACTCCGCTGCGTTTCCATCACAATGACAGTTTATGACTGTTCAGTAAACCATTCGGCCCGCGATTTAGGCTGGATTTTAGATTTTGGCCCCTTCTCTGATTGAGTTCGACACCCCTAGTGTAGATGAAATGACACTTAAGTGACTAGATAACATCTTTAATTAGTATCATTTACTATGATAAAACTCATTGTGAGGAATCCAAATCTAGTTCCAAAAATCTGAAATTGTTAAGCAGAGAGCTTATAAGTATCATTGCAAATTTAAATAAGCCAAAGGAATAATCTTCAGGAGAAGAGAAACAAAAATAGTGCAGAAATGTGAGCATTTACATTTTTTGTAATTACTAAGTAATTGAAGGGGTGCAGGAGCTGGCAGTGAGTGGTTGTGCATAAACATTATTAAGCAAATATACCACTTCTTAAAATAATTGGAACCCATGCAGACCTAATTTTTCCTCACTGTTATAAGCAATCAGTAATCTAACAGACAATTTAGGGTATGATCAGTAGTATAGCTCAAGTCACAGAATTCAATAGCAGGAAGATTCTCAGAAATCATTATCTATTAAGGAAAGAGGTCTAGAAATGTTCAATAACTTGACTTAATCCATCACTTCAACTGGTCCACTAGTTTAATCCCAGATTAATGAACTATATAAGTTAGAATACATAATCAAGTCTCCATCTACTTTCCCTAAATTTAAAAGAATGCTAAAAGTTAGTTTTTAAATGATCGTGTATAAATTTAATAAACAGAAATATATTAGCTTAGTGGTGCAGAAATAAAATAATTCTTAGACAATCTGTGATTAAGACCATTCTAATTGTTAATTGCATAATAAATAGAATTTTTACATGAATAATCTCAACTATTCATGTGCACAAATTCTAAATGGTACTGTAATAAAAAAAGCAAGCTTAAAAATGTTTTCTATTCATGTGCATAAAAATAAATGATATTCAAAATAGTATTTTTAAAGTTAGCTCTTTAAAGAATATTAGGAGTGTTTATTTCAGATACAACATTAGAAAACTTCAAAATTTAAGTTATTTTTCTGAGTTCTCTGGCAACCAGATTGTTGAAAGTAGTTGTACTATAATAGTATAACTGTAAACTATGTTAAATTAGAGTTTGTTGAACTTTCGTTGTGAAAAACAAATGAAAGATTTTTCTGACAATTTTTAAGAGTGACTTCTACAAAGAGGTATGTTAATTACTGGGATTCTTTAGACACATGGCTGCATTTCATTTTCATTAATGAGGGTGTAGGAGATAGAAAAGCAGGCTCGGCATAAATGATACCCAAAGTGAATGAACAACCTAGTGCTACTCATTATGCAAGACATATGTGCCAGCAATCAGAGCGCATCCTCAGATTTCTGTTTAGCTTCATTAGCCATCTTCAGTCCTTTGGGTGGGACAATCCTGAAGATGTCATCCTCATCTAAGGCGAGATTGCCAGAGCACAGTTCACTGCCATCTAGGGCAGATTGTGTGTCTCCAGAGACTGTAATTAGATCAGGCCTTTCACACACTGGTTTTCTTTTTGAGAGCCCTTGAACAAATCAAGCATACATGGTTGTCTATGTAAAACTAAGAGCTGTTCACTTTCTTAGAGCACAGATGACCTATCTCAAATATTTTATATATTACTTTAAAATAATGAATCAAAGGGCAAAGTCTACAATAATTGAAAGCAGTTTACTAACAAAAAGAAAAACCTTTCAGCATGTAGATGTTCTACATTCAAATCAATGAGAGCTCTCACCCTAAAGATTGACAGGCTGTGTGGCATTGGAAATGGAGATAGAAAAAAAAAAGTAGTGAAAATAATGGCATCTTTTTCACTCTTAAATAAAAATGTAAATCTCTAGAGCTATCAGCATGGTGTCAACCTTCAAAAACAATATTTATATTCATCTGGGTTCCCCCCCCCCCTTTTTTTCTCGTTTTCTTTTGCTTAAAAGGTTGGGTTTGGTAGGAGTCGAGGTTAGTGAAGTAAATCTGACAATATAAAATAACATTTTTATAAATCAGGTCTAAGACAAAGGGAAGAAGGAGTGTTTGCTGGCAGAAATACAAGTGGTCAGAAATACTTGGATGAAATTATTGAGCTTAATCATCTTCATTGGAATAATAGGGTTTATTCTGAAGCTGCAGAACACATATGAGTCATAGAGGTTTTATTTTTTTAATATATTTTATTGATATTTACAGAGAGGAAGGGAGACAGTTAGAAACATCAATCAGCTGCCTCCTACACACTCCCCACTGGGGATGTGCCTTCAACCAAGGTACATGCCCTTGACCAGAATTGAACCCGGGACCCTTCAATCCACAGGCCAGCGCTCTCTCCACTGAGCCAAACCAGTCTCAACAAATCATAGAGGTTTTAAAGGGCAAAAATAGAAAGCTAAAAGTCTAAAGGTAGATTCAAATATACAAAGCGGCAGGAGGGAGAGAAGTGGTGACGAGAAACAAGAAAGGGAACAGTAAACAAAGATCAGAACCCACGTTCCAGTTTGCACAATCAATTGTATAATTCACTGGCTTTTCTGAACTATAGATTTCTCATCTGTCAATGGGATGTGGTGAACTTCACGTTAAAAATCCCCCAAGAAGCTCTTAATAAATTTTAATTGATTAGTTAAGACATTCTGGGTTAATTAGCCTGGCACCGAGCATGGCTGCCATATATTCTAGAATTTTTTTTTCTTCTTTTCTTCCTTCTCTTTTCTATGTGGCTATGTCACTGCTCTGGAAGGGAGAGAAGGGAGGGAAAGAAAACCACGCAATTTCTTCAGGAGCTCTAGCTGAAGAGCTGCCAAAGAAGAAAGCTGCAATGGAGTTTTTGCAAGTGAAGAATGGAGACTTTATATGTTTCCTTTTATCTCATTTCTTCAAGAACTCACACATGCCTATACCTTTTTATGTAGTTTAAGTATGACTGAATAAAACAATTTACTTAAGTCCGGAAGCTCTAAATTTTTATGATGAAACAAAATGTGCCAATTCTAGCCAATCTGTGAATGTAAGGGTCAGTAATCCATAAACTATTTGGGTAGTAATTATATGTTTCATTAATGTAATGTGATTTTGCACTACTGTATCATTGTATTTAAGCAGAATCTTTAAAATACCCTGAAACCTAAATGCCAAATGTACAGTTTATAGGTTCATGTTATTTCTTATAAGGATTTAATTGCATTGTGCTAACAGTTGTTTAATGCTATTAATGTTCTGTATGTGTTACTACTGTGATTCAAACCCATGAGGTTGTAAGCACACTAATTGATCATCCGGATTTTTATAGATAAAATCACCCATTGATCAGAAATCACTTTTCTACTTATTTTTTTGTAGAGTATTTTTCCACACTTGAAAAACAAACATGATTATTTTATATCAAACATCAGCTTTTCTTTAAATCTTATTTTAGTAGCCAGTGCATGTTTGAAATAAAATGTGTTAGAAATTATATAATATTAAGATTGTGCTATATTGGGGGGAAATGCATGCTGTTGGCGAATCATGCAACTTTGGGGAAATTTACACTGCCAACTCACATGCAGGCATGTCTCAATCCATGTGCATGATTTATGTCCTTTCAAAAATCTTTTTTAAACTTTAGTAAAGTGAAAATGGCATTCTTAGTGTTAAGAGCCAATAGACAAAGCTGCTTTGCTTTTTTTAATGTCGCAGTATATTGTGGTAAATTTACCCCTTCCCCAAATTTTCTTCTTTGATTTTCTAGTTGGCAATAAATAAAATTATTTATTGGCAAATGATATAATTTACTGTATAGCAACTTACTATAATAAGCATGAAGATGTGATAAAAATCATGTTAATAGTTCAAATCTATGAACACAATATTCTGGCAGCTTTTTCTACAATCAAAAATGGTATGTCTTTTTTTTTTTTTTTTTTTTTTTTACACTGCCAAAATCAGTACTACTGCCAGGGTGGGGGTAACTTGAGGTCAGGTCTGCACTACATTAATTTGAGTAATAATGTAGGACATCTAGGAAGTGTGGACAGCCAATCAGAGTAACTGATAGAAGAAAAGTAAACTTCATTTTTTTCTCAGTAACTTAGGTAATTAAGAAAAAAATTGCATAGAAAATATGAATTTTGGCTGCAGAGACCAAGCCTCTACATGCTAACAATTTGCAGTAGTCTTTAGAAATAGAAATTATTCAGTGTAGTTTCCTTTTCGTGTTTGCTTTGTTTTCTTCTTCAGAAAATATACTTGTGTTTTTGAAAGGGCTTAATTCCAAATGGATAATATTATGAACCAATGACCACCACCCCAATGAAATAAGTCATTCATCATGTTATGTTATGTCTAGAACATAGCACTCGGTGACTTAAAACACCAATATAAACATTTACACTGCCGGAAGGTAATTTCATTGCTATGTTATTAAAGCAGTTGGGATCCTATTTATACATTTATTTATTTATTTACAGAAGTTTGGTTCATTCGAGTTCAATTTTAACAGCTTCAGTGAAGTTACTATATATAATTATAATAAAAGTTGACTCTAGCTACTACTCCAAGAGAAAATCATACAACAGAATTTCCCTACATCCTGGAGTAAAGCATTAATCCAAATGATAAGTAATCAGCCCACCATCAACATGATTTTGTATGTGTATGATATACAACAAAACTGATCTTGTTCTTAATTTGCTAACATATTGTTGCCTCTTCATAGATTCAACCTGTAAATAACATAAAACATCATGTGGCTAAGCCAATATTTTAATAAGCCATGAAAGGCAAAATGCCATAGGGAATCAATAAATTCAGCTATTTGGGTAACTTGTGTTTTCCACAAATAATACTGCAGATGTTATTTGAAATTTTCTTCCCTTAAAAATATCAAAATGTATGTTCCTGCCCATTAATGTCTTTCTGGGACTATAAATAAATATTTGGTATGATTGTTATAGTTAAAATTTTGTTAAATTTTTGTTCAATAATTTTTGGTGATTTCAGCATCTGTGCTAAGATTCCAAGGCAGGAATAAATGTGTAAAGGATTTGAGCCTTTATGTGTAAGAAGAAATCTCTCCAATCATATTTCCTATATTTAGTGTAAGTACTTCAGTGATTTACCACTGGAATTATTCCTTGAATGTATAAATAATGGTGTTCTGTTCAAGCCTAATGAATTTCTGTACTGTGAATATTTAAAATAAAAGAATTCAATTTCAATGTGCAAAATAGTGCTGGTCATTTGTAATGCTTACATTGAAAATCATTCACTCAAGAAGATTCATTTTCAGTTACATAAAAAAATCTAGATTCCCTATATATACTAAATTGAAATTAAAAAAACAATTATATTTTATATATTACACAATTAGTACAAATAACAAATTAAAAGATAACAGTAAACACATATAAACTATCCTACAGCAGTTTGTTTTCTTAATCTTGCATTATTGTAATGAACTTGGACCAGCTTAGATCTATTAATGATTTCAATTTGTATGTGTGATGTGGAGGAATAGGTGAATCTATCCAACTCTCTTCATTCAGCCTTGATCTAGCTTAAAAGATGCCTTATGTTGCATCCCCAATTTACTACTCTACATACTCTCCTAATTGTTTTTATTAAGGGCTATACACTCAATTATTTTCACAGGCTAGGGTTTCATTGTGTGTGTATCTATTATGGACATCCTTCTTCAGCCACAAGTTTTGAATATCCAGGTAATTACTGTCATCTAACTTCCTTTAGACTCCGTGCCTTGGATAGCTCACTGTGAGGGGCTTTTAGCATCATATTCTCGTCTTTTTTTTTTTTTTACCTACCTGTTACAAATTATGTTGCCTAAAAGCTTAGAAATCATTCTTGATTATTTCTCTTCCTTTTCTGCACATCCACTTGACCATGAAATATCTCTCTCAAATATGTCCCCTTTCTTCCAGCCTAATGCCATTGCCTCTTTTATCAATGAGGCCTTCACCATTTGCAATACTTTGCAAAAGTTATTTCCTCATTTAGTAGCAAGTCATATACATTCCTTAAAGTTGGCTTTTACAAATATTTCTAAGGTCTTGTTTGCTCCCTTGTAATATTTCATTACATTTGCACTTCTGTGATAGCTCCCACATCCATCCAGAACCCAGGCTGTTATTGTACTTTGCCCAGTGAACTTTTGGCATCCTTAAGATTACACTCAAGAGTCACATCCATTTACAAAATATATTCTGTATGTCAAATAGATTTCAGAGGCTTCAAAAGTCAAGACAACAGGTGAGGTGATCTGTATTTTCATGGAAGAAGTTCTGAAATAGTTCTTGAAGAAAGAATTCAGTCAGGCAAGATGAGAGGCTATATGGATATACTTTTCAATGAGGATATGAACAAAGTCTTAGAGGCAGGATACACTGAATAAACATGGGTGATTTTAATAGTTAATAAAAATGTTAAATAAGTCATTAGGGTGTTGAAAATAAAAAGATTAGAATATGGAGAGCTTGACACTCAAACCTATAATGCAGTAAGCTGATTGATTTAAAATGGTTTATACTGAAGCATGATGGAAAGTCATTGAAAATTTGTAAGCTGATGTACAGTATGAGCAAAGCCACAAAACATGTCTCTCTAGAACTGAATCATTTAAAGAATGGAAACTAGCATCATAACATCTTATCCATCTTCATGTCCAATTCCAATGTCTCTTACTTTAGCTGAAGGGATGCCCTGTGATCCGATGTTTGCAGTGTTAGTTCTGGAGCAAAACTGCTCACGTTCAACTATCAGACTCTCACTGCCAGCTCTGTGGCCTTAGCAAGGTTATTTCACCTTGAATCACCTCAGTTTTCATCCATAAATACAAGAATAACAACACCTTACTCATAAGATTGTTGAGAAGATTAAATGACATAATGCACATGAAAGATTTATATATTGTAGCATTGAAATAGTAAGCACTCAATAACTCTTAGCTATTACTTTCAAAGTAACACAAACATTTTCCTAAACATCTTTCCTTCAGTCCCTCCAGTCTCTATTAAGCCATTTTATCCTAAAAATATATTGCTTTTGTTAAAACTTCAGATCTCCAAATTATCCCTTTGTTTTTGAATAAGCAGAGAAAATGTTAGAAAACATGACTGGATATACTAGAAGCCGGAAGAATATTGTATTTTTGATAATTTATTATAATAAGTCAGAGACTCTGAAACAAAAAATTTCATGTAGACCACCCAGACTCAGTTTTGGGAATTACCATAACTATAGTAAGCTGGTGATGTGGTAGCTCAGAAGGCTTCTTAAAAATTTTAGAATACCTTTAACTTTACGTTGCCATAACCAGCATAAGAATAAACTTGATTCCCAGAAGCCAGCAGGGATATGATTCCCCACAACACACAGTTAATGTAAAAAGAAGAGCAAATAGGTTATTCTTGAAGGTTGAATATTCCTCTGGGATTGTCAGATTATATCATAATATTAAATATTGAGCACAAAAGCTACAGTCACCCATAAAGCTCAGGATTGTAATTATGCAAACCATAATTACTTCAGTGAAATCACCAGTTTTAGAGATTATGAGTATAGGAGCACAAGAAAACATTTGCACGACCATTTGGCCATCCATTAAATTTGTTGGCATATGTTATTTATTTTTGTAAATGACCATGTTTGCAAATGATTACTCTGCCTCTGAAAACTGCATCAAATGGGGCCCTTCAATCTATGTCCCAAATTAGGCTAGTATCAAACACTTATTTTTTGCGATGCTCACTGAATAAAAATTGGGTCAGTCATCAAAAACATTTGAAAAATGCTTTGTAATATATTCCTTTTCAGAGATTTATACTGTACTTTTATATGTGAAAGTCCCCGAGACAACCTTCAATAAAGGAGTGTGTTTACTTTTATTAACTCAGCATTTCTCAAATATATTTTACATCAGAAATTCTGTTTTCCTGGAGTGCTAATTACATTCCATAAAAATAGTGGTTGAGTAGCACTGTGGAGAGTGCTGCTCAGAGGCCGGTTGTTTTTTGCTCTAATGCATTCTGGGTTCAGCAGAGCCTGAGCATCCCCGGATGGTGTTGTACCGTTATCTGCTTTTGCTAATGGACTGTTTTGGACCTTTGTCTGCCCTAGACCCAACAAACCGGAGTGGCTCTGCATTCACATTCCATGCTCATCCCAGAAACCTAAAGTCCTCCCTAGAAGAAATGTCCAATAGTTCTATTAGTTGTTTGCCAAAACACCTGGGCCCATCCAGATTCTTTATTAGACTACCCAATGAAACGATCCCTAGTACATTATGTGAAATGACCCTACCTCCCCTCGCCAAAAAAAAACCAAAAACTCATCTTCTATCTTAGAATTTGTAAAGTTTGAGAGGAAAAAATCCTGAATATACTAATCCTGAAATTAGTGCAAAGCACATGCTGACAATGAGTTAGATTAAGCAAAGTCCTTGATCCTGCCCCTTCCCAGCCCCCTCCTTTAATCACTTTCAGGTTCAAATGTCTTTCAGATACGGTCTTGTTAACTACACTAAGAAAGGAGAACCTGAGACCTGGAAATAGTGCTGCCAACCGACACCGAGCAGGTACTAAGAGGTAAGCCAAGGTTTTAGATAATAAAGGTGAGTTTATTCCAGTACATACAGCATAATGTGATATCCACAGATTAAGGCAACTGGCAACAAATGATTAGGGCAGAAGGAGAAGCAAGTGCATTTCTTTATGTGAAACAGAAACCCATTCATGGAGCAGGAGGCATAGAAGGCTGGGAGAAGAGTGTGAGGGAAGGTACTGCAAAGCAGACTTGGGTTCTTGGGAGACCAGGACTTCATGGCATCAGGGACTCAGGAGGATATGGACCAAAGGAAGACTCAGACACTCAGCAATCAGAATGGAAACCAAAGGTGAGAGAGCACTTTAGACCCGTGGTTGGCAGCCTGCAGCTTGCGAGCCACATGCGGCTCTTTGGCCCCTTGAGTGTGGCTCTTCCACAAAATACCACAGCCTGGGGGAGTCTATTTTAAAGAAATGGCGTTAGAAGAAGTTTAAGTTTAAAAAATCTGGCTCTCAAAAGAAATTTCAGTCGTTGTACTGTTGATATTTGGCTCTGTTGACTAATGAGTTTGCTGACCACTGCCTTAGACTATCTTAGAGTGTCTAACAGAGCTTTTTAAGTGACCTGGCCTTAATTTGGACAAGCCTCTGAGCTTATAGATGATACTCTATTACTTACTATATAAGAGAAGGTCAGGAACTCAGAATTCCCTAACATCTCATAGCTTAATGATCTGGTCAGATAATTCACATTTCCTGGCTGTAAAAACACTTATAGGCCAGGAATTTACTTTGGCAAAGCTAGAGGCAAATGATGGAGTGGTTTTGAGAACTATTGTCATCAGCTCTCTTCAGATGGCCTCTTTCTCAAAGAAATGCAGTGTTCTTCATTGTTTACTTCTGGAGAAGAATCCACTCTCCTAGAGATATATTTTTACCCAGATAGCCATGTAACAGACCTGCAGAAATGCATTTATCTATAGCTAAATAATCTATACTATTTACCATATCTTTCTATTAGGGATTATAATGACTTTGGCACAGAGAAGGCAAAGTATAGAGAAGAAATAAATAATCCCAATTAACTGTATCCTTGTGTCTGCGAAGGGAGGAATAAGCAGTGATACATACAGGGTAAATGGAAACAAAGACAAAACCTGGTCCCATGCAAAACTTCCCAGTAGAGAAGCAGTGTGATGGTTATGAGCATGGGCTGTGGCGAGATCTCATCAGTGGCTCTCAACCCGGAGCAGTTTTGCTCCCAGGAAGACATTTATGGTTGTCATAATTATTTAAATGTTGTATTTAATATTGTAATAGCTTAAAGGGCTTAAAGTTACACCACATTTAACATTTAAGATAGGGATATAGCTATAGCACACTGCTTATTGACATTTAAAGGGAAAATATCATGTCTCTCATTTCCAAAATCAGTGGACTAAATATTTCAGAAAAAACTCTTCTGATGAACACAACTAAAAAGGATGAATAAAATATAAGGATTATCTTCCAAAAATCACCAAATAGCTGGGTAGTAAGAAATCAAAATGCCAAGACACTGAAAACGATGTGATTCCAGAGATTTTAACACAGCAGTTGGGAAAATGTTTCCCGGGGCATTTTCCAAACATAAATTGGTCTCCACCAAAAGCTGAGCTACTTTTTATTTT